TAAACACGATCATCATTCACTATAATTTCTTCATTCTTGTCTCATTTAGATGGAAGAGGTCTTGTTAACCCTAAGGGTCTACAATTCTACAACAACTTCATCCATCAACTTGTAATCCATGGTAACACTTGTGTCTGTTTCTTTATGTTGTGTTCTGTTTTAGTAGTTCCTACTTAGTAAACTTTTACTACAGGAATTGAACCACATGTCACACTTTTCCACTACGATCTTCCTCAATCTCTTGAGGATGAGTACGGAGGATGGAGAAGCCGCAGAATCATGTAAGCTTACATTCACTTTACTTTGCTTCTTTTTTACATTTTCATTGGAACGTGAGTTACATGTCATTGCAGCAAGGACTTTACTGCCTACGTAGACGTTTGCTTCAGAGAGTTTGGAAACAATGTCAAATTCTGGAACACGATCAATGAGGCTAATGTATTTACAATTGGAGGTTACAATGATGGGAATTCAGCGCCTGGTCGTTGTTCCTTACCGGGCAAAAGCTGCTTATCAGGGAACTCTTCCACTGAACCATATATCGTAGCTCATAACTTGCTGCTTGCGCACGCCTCTGCTTCAAGATTATATAAGAAAAAGTACAAGGTAGACTTGCTTTTGCTTATTCATGTATCTCTTGAATGTGTTGAGTTGATGACAAAAGGAGCAACATATCATATAATGTGCAGGATATACAGGGAGGTTCCGTAGGCTTTAGCATGTTTACAATAGGCTTTAATGCTTCTACAAGCTCCAAGGATGATGAACTCGCAGTTCAAAGAGCCAGAGATTTCTACATGGGCTGGTGAGTCTGGTTCCAATAGACTTTCTTAATAAATCTGAAAAGATAGAATCTGACTTTGAAATCCAGGATGTTTGAGCCTCTTATATTTGGAGACTATCCGGAAGAAATGAAACGAATCGTTGGATCAAGACTGCCAGTTTTTACAGAGGAAGAATCAGAACAAGTTAAAGGCTCAGCTGATTTTTTAGGAATCAATCAGTACTTTGGAGTTGTTGTCTCAAACAACAAACTCAAACCTTGTCCTTCAAGAAACACAGATTTCAAATCGGACGTGGGCGTATCTTTGACTTGTATGCATCAAAACTCTTGAATCTTGCTCTTTTATATCCATGTTTCGTTTTTTGCTCATCGTCTCTTCTTCTTCTTCGTTTCACACAGTCTTGTCACTTTCCGAGGTAAGAATTTTCAGATGCAAAACTCTTACTCGTCTTAAGTGTCCATCTTTCTTAGTTGTTCTGTTTGTATGGACTAGTATGATGCTTCTCTGTGGGCTATGAAAGATGTGTTGGAGTATATAAAGCAGAGATATGGCAATCCTCCCATCTACATTCTTGAGAACGGTCTCTTTCTCTCTCACTCTCTTGTGTTTTGTCTTAGGTTGCTCAATTGTCTTACCAATCGAAATGAATAGGTACACCGATGAAGCGAGATTTGCAGCTGCAACTGAAGGACACAAAAAGGGTTGAGTACTTGAATGCTTACATTGGTGCGGTGCTCAAAGCCGTTAGGTAAGTGAAGTGTGTTCTTACTGCATATTCTCTTCTCTTATCGGTTAGTTAAAGAACATTACTACAACTTGTAGGAATGGATCGGATACGAGAGGGTACTTCGTATGGTCATTTATGGATTTGTTCGAGATACTGAGCGGGTACGAGTTCAGTTTTGGAATGTACTATGTGAATTTCAGCGATCCTCATCTCAAGAGGTCTCCAAAACTCTCTGCTCAGTGGTACTCTGCTTTTCTCAAGGGCAACAATACCACCTTTCTTGGTTCACAAGGCATCACGCAATTGCAGACCAACTTTTCTTCTTCCTCTTAATATTTGCTACCCAAATATGAAAAATTCATGATGTATAAATAAATTACAATGTATATTGATATTGGCCAATATATTCCCGATTTTTCCAATATAATCAAATGAATAGTCTCCGCAAGTCCACCAACTTCTTCTTCTAGTATGATGTTGTCTGTTTTGTGTCATGTGGACAAACTTTCCCGGATTTGTTTTTGAATTTTTTTCTAAAAGGCTCTATACTAGTTAGATTTGATTTATATATTAGACCATATTGTGTTTTAGATGAACATTATGTCATATTGAAATTCATAAAACAAAGAAAACTACTTGAACCTCACAAGTTGAAGTTCAATTTTTGTTATGGAAATTCATAAAACAAAGAAAACGACTTGAACACTCTTCCAAGCTCAAGTATAGAGCAGATAATTAGACTACAATTCGATAAATTTCTTGAATGTTTCCTAATTAAACCTACAAATAAATGATCGAAACTTGTTGATTTGTAAGTTACAAAAAAAAAAAAACAGTCTTCATCTAGATGTAAAATGTTCAAAAAGAGTGAAGACTAAACCTTATGGTTCATCACTCATTGGTTGAGACAACAATGGAGACATTGTTGCTGTGAGAGAGTGTGAGAACTAGCTCTTTAAACTTACAGTAATGTTCTTCCAATTGTACGGCCATATTTTCTAATGTCTTCTTGTTATTAAGCATAAGTTTCATGAATGAAGACACGTGCTTTCACTTTACTTTCGAAAATTGGGATCTTTTTCCTTTGATCTCAGGCATTTATCCGGAATCAAGCCTTGCGATTTCAAGTATTCGTCAAGATACTCCTCCTGTACAAGAGAAAAATAACCATATTCAATTTAGATAACAGCTAACGAAAATAATATAAAAAGAGATTTAGGGTTGATATACTACGTACCGGTATATAGTTGCAATAATGCCATGTGTGTAGTGTTAGCTTCTTTAAAACAGGCGAGTTTTGTAACACCCTTTCTATACCAGGAATAACATACTGAGAGATCGATGTCTCAAGACTCAAAGCTTTAACCTTCAACATGGGAAAAGGAAGGCGACGAATCTCGGCAAGAGATAAAAATCTAGCAAAACAAGATAAGAAACAGGTATGAACTTGACGCTAGTTAAAGAAGTTTGACCAGGTCAAAATCCCTAAAACAAAAAGTGCGATTTCTTCCGATAAGGTGTCTACGGCGGCTTCCGTCCGGCGTCTTCTCCGGCGCCGGTGCTTGCTGGATTCCTTCTCTTCAGGCCCGTCCCACCTCATGGGACAGAAAAAACCCAAAAAATCCTCTCCATCAAAACTCTCTCGTTCGCAGAAGTCGGGTCCTCGGAATCACAAACCGTCGACTTCGTCTTCTCAGTCTCCGGTGGCTGCGTCCCCGGCGACGACATCTTCTTCACCTACTCTAGGCGTCGTGCCAGTGCCTGTGGTTACTGGTGTCGATGCTTCCCCTGTTGCAATCTCTCCCAACCCTACTGGGATCGATCTTGCTCCTATCGCTGCCCCTATTGTTGCTCCTGTGATCGCGACTATGGTTGCTGATCCAGAACCAACCAACAAAGTTTCCAGGGCTGAAGAAGCCAAGGAATCAACTGCACCTCCTGTTGAAACTGTGATCGCGCCAAGGGTTGCTGATCCAGAACCAACAAACCAACCAATATTGGCTCGAGAGGATCCGGCTAGGACAATCTCGAATGGGCCTAGTGCTGCGTCTGCGATTCGCACTTCAGTAACGAGTAAAGATCCGACAGCAAAGGCTGCAGATACTTGGGCCTCTCTTGTG